ATAAAATAATCACTTAGGTAAAGTAAAGGATATTTTTAAATAGTAACTCTAAATAAATAGAATATATTTTTAAATAGGAATTCTAAAATTATTTTCTTAAAAGAAAAAAAAAACTGACAGGTGGAAGCACCGTGGTTTATTGGTCAAGGGTTCGAAGACTTCTATATCTAGGTTTGGGGTTCAAACCCCAAACTATGAAATTTATAGGTATCAATTCTTAGAAAAGGAAAATTATGCAGAAAAATGGAAAAAAACATACAAGACATCTTTAGAATGACGCAAAGAATACATTCAGAAATGAATCTCATCAAATGGCTCAAGTGATGTAGTGAGACGTGAATCCGCATAAAGCAGATAGAATTGTCGGTTATATTATCGTCTTATTATGTTTCTCATAATTTGTAATAGCATAACTAACTAGACAAAAAAAACTGATAACAAAAGTTAATGCTTAGCCTAAAACATTGGCTGAAACAAGATATATAAGTCAAAATTACATCATGTTTGAATTTTAGGTAAAACCGAATCGAAAATAAGGAAAACCAATTTTTTTATCTCGTATTGAATCAGAAAATTCAGCATTCATAAAATGATTACTACTTTTTTAATCTAATAAATATATCGACCTTAAACCGTTAGTATTACCTTTTTAAAAACAAATGCTAAAAAAACCTAAAATTTCAAATCAAATACAAAAGTGTACCCCAATTTCAATCAAATGAAAACCAACCAAAAGGGATAGAGAAATGTCTATTTACTCTTTATGACTAAACAAAAAAAAATGCTATTTACAATTCCATCCTTATGAAGTATACATTTAATAGAGAGAAGTCGACAAATTGTAGACTTATCATGAGATCAATATAATAGACTTATTACAAAATCTACATTCTAAGTTAATCTTATAATTTTATTTTGAAAATATATAAAAATAAATTGTGTAAAATTTATTTTAGGTCATCAATATAAGAATTAATATGAGTTATATAAATTAAAATTCATATGATTAAACAATTTTAACGAATATATATTGACTAGGTAACAATATTGAAATAGTCATACTAGATTTCAAAAAAAATCTACTAAGTAGACTTACAATAAAGTCTACTCCAAAATTTTAATTAAGTAAACTTCAAAAAAAGTCTATACTATCAAAATTTTTAACCTACTTACAATTTGTGTCTCCCTATATAAATGAAATTTAGATAATCTCTCTCTAAAATGACTGCACAAGTTTCTAAAAAAACTCTCACTTCTCTCTAAAACTCTCTCTCTCCTCTCTAAAACTCTCTCATTGCTCAATTCTTTGAAGGTGAAGATGAATTTTTGTTTAGTTTGTTAATTTTCCTGTCATGTTTTTTCACAATATTATCTTTTGCTTGTAGGTTAATTTATGGTTATCATCTTCCACTCTAAAAATGTAAGTCTTAGATCTATAGATTTAAAATGTGTATTTTTATGTTTATATTCAAATAAAGTTACAAATACAAACTCTTTGCATTTACTTTGCTAATATTTTATCTTATATTTTCTATTTTAAAAGTTTTGTTTTCAGATTAAAAACTATGTTTCACGTTTTAACATGTACATAGTTTCCAGATCTGAAAATTATCCGATATAGTAGACTTGGCATGAAGTCTACAAGGTTATGACTTTAATTGTTTGTCTTATATTTTTCACAGTTTCATCTTTATTTTGCAGGTATTTTCTTCCATGTTTTTTTTTCTCTTCCACAAAAACATTGTAAGATTTACATCTATAATGTGTGTTATTCTTTTTATATTTAAATAAAGTTACATATTCAAACTCTATGTCTATAATTTACTACTAATTTATTTTACAAATTCTATTTCCTAAACTTTTTGGATTTAAAGTTATTTTCATATTTGTAATGTATATATTTTTCAAATCTAATTTCTTTTTGGATTGAGTAGATTACAAATGAAGTTTATTAACTTTTAAACAGACTTCATTAGAAGTCTACTCAAATATGATTTTAATTTTTTTTGCCTTATATTTTTCATAATTATATTTTATTTTGCATGTATTCTCTTCCAAAAATCACCTTCCAAAATATGTAAGATTTACATATATTCATTTAATTTTTTTTATATAAAACTAAATTTATAGATACAAGCTCTATGTTTTTGCTTTGCTAATTTTAGGTTAAAACACTATTTTGAATTATTTTGCAGAAAGTACTATTTTCTAATTTTGTACTTGTACATTTTTAGATCTGAAATTATTTTTGGCATGAAGTTATTTAAAAATTAAGACTAGTAGACTTTAAATAAAGTCTATTGAACCTATAAACTTTAAGTAGACTTTTATGAAGTCTACTAAAAGTAATTTGAATATGTTTACCTTATGTTTACTCATAATTTATCTTATTTTGGGGAACTCTTTTCCAAGATTTCGTTTCAGATATCAAGATTATGAATAAGCTAACACTCTAGAGTTTTAAAAAATTGATTCGTAATAATTTATCTTTACAAAATATTAATTTGTAAATAAGTATTCTGATACATAATCAATAAAAATTGTATTAATCTTTTAATTGTGTTGCATTTATATGATATTATTAATTTTTGTTAGCAATCAATTTTTCAAAAAAATATTCTAGTCAGCCAAACAGTTAAAAACCATCATAAGCTAAAACAAGAACTAACAGACAAAATTATGTAATCTGAAAACTTGTTTTATAGCAATTTTAGAGATTTTGAACACAAAAGAGATTAATAATACAAATTAATACAATTTCAATAGCAATAAAGGAGAGTAGACTTTAGTGTTTGTCTACTTTCCTACCTGTAGACTAATAAAGAAGTCTGCCTTTGTTGTACACATTTTAAAATGTCTATATTACGGGAATCAGACTTGTTTAACACTTCATAACAATACCAAAGAAGCTTACAAATTAAACATAAGTTCATACACAACGTAACTGAGTCATTTCCTGTGAAAAAAATGAAAATTTATATAGTTAGCGATCATGTTTCAAAAAACTATCAAGTAGACTTATCAATACGTTTACGATTATTATCTAACTACATGATCAAATCAAAAGTATCATAATTTCATAAATATAACATATTTTCTTTTAAAAATCACTCAAATATATTAGGATTAAGTAACACACACTGTCAAACAAAAAAATCTTGAAAAAACTTAATGAATAATACAAAAATTCACTTTTAATATATTTTCAAATGTAGACTCCATAAGCAGTTTGCGTAGATGTAGACTTTCGTTACAGTTTACACATGTAGACTCCATATGCAGTCTTCTGTTTAGGTTAGTTTTTGCAATTGAAAATTTTACGGGTTACTTACTATATTTGAAAGAAAAATTGTGATTTTATATCCATTTCATTCTACATATCAAAAATGTTAGTTTTTTCAATTGACCAAAAATCACCCAAGATTTGACTTACTGAAGTAGACTTTAGCGGTAGTCTACATGTCTGATTTTTTTTGAAAGAGGTTAGTCTTGCAATTGACCAAGTTTGACTTTCTATTAGTAAACGGAAACAAATGTCTACATATCTGTTGACTTCATACGAAGTCTACGCTCAAACACGGGGGGTTATTTTTGCAATTGACCAAAATAAAATAGTAGACTTCATGTGATGTCTATCATTTTATTTTTAAAATAGTATACTATAATTAAAGTCTACACTTTTTTGGTCATTTTTTAACATTTTAGTCAAATACAAAACTAACCTATTCAACGAAGTCAAAATTTGGGTCAAATACAAAACAAACTTTTTGTAGACTTCTCGGGAAATCTACAGTGTGTAGATTTTCAATGAAATCTACATTGAAAAGTTAAAAGTTTGGTCAAATGCAAATCTAATCTTTTATGTAGACTTCTTGGTAAGTTTACCTCATTTTTTTGTTTTTTGTTATCAAAGGTAAATACGTAGACTTTCAGGGAAGTCTTATTTGCATAAAAAATTATTCTGGTCAACTGCAAAACTAACATGTTCGTTGAAAAGTATACTGCATCGTAAGCATACACGTAAGCATAGACATATGATACAGTCTACTATCGCGACACAGATCTGAAAATGACGAAAACCATGTAAATATGTACCTTTTCCGGTGTAAAGCTCGTTTCCACCATTTTTCACCGTCCAAGCTCCAAATATGAAGAAATAGAAGCAGCTTAGACGACCAACAACAGAGTACACTCGAAATAATGAAGTTATGCTTATGAAAATGAAAATTATGAGAGTTTTTTAGATGAAAATAGAGAGGAAATAGGAGGAAGTGAACATTTGTTAGTTTAGAATGAGAAAAAAAAAAGTGGTTGAAAATTGAATTTGAAAAGTTTAAAGAGCTTAAAAATATTGGTTCATGGTGGTTGAAAATTGATGACGGTGGCATTGTTGTAAATAAGAAGAAAAGTTTAGGGTGTAATTGGTTTTTTGTAATTTTTGAAATAATTAAAACAGAAATAATAATGGCAATTCTGTAAATATTTCAAAAACATAAGGATGATTTAGAAATTTCATGGATAAATAGTAATGACAAACAAAAAAAGGTTGATTTTGCAGTTGACTTCAATTTGTGGGTTGGTTTTGGTAAACACCATTTAGTTCAGTGTCTTAATACTCTGTTTATATAATTACCAAGAAACATAATACAAAACAAATAACAAAAAACGAAAACAATGTCGACTATTCTGTATTTCTTTTTGTTTCTGCTTCTCCCCCACTCTTTTCTCGTTAATATTCGTGAAGAAAATCAAAGACTAAAAAAAAAATCTTCCTCCGAGCCCACAAAAGCTTCCGTTCATCGGAAACCTACACCAGCTACGAGGATTGTTTCACAGATGTCTTCACGATCTCTACAAGAAACAATCTTCCTCCGAGCCCACAAAAGCTTCCGTTCATCGGAAACCTACTACACCAGCTACGAGGATTGTTTCACAGATGTCTTCACGATCTCTACAAGAAACATGGACCTGTGATGCTTCTCCGTCTAGGGTTTCTTCGAATGGTCGTGGTCTCATCAAGTGAAGCAGCTGAAGAAGTTCTTAAAACACATGACCTAGAGTGTTGCACACGACCCTTCACTATCGCCTCAATGGTCTTCTCGCGTAATGGTAATGACAGTGGTTTTGTGGAATACGGTGAGGCATGGAGAGAGCTGCGTAAGCTTGCGGTCCGTGAGTTTTTCAGCGTGACTAAGGTTCGATCTTTTAGGTATATTAGAGAGGAAGAGAGTGACTTGATGGTCAAGCAAGTGAGAGAATCGGCTTTGAAGCAATCTCCGGTGGATTTGAGCAAAACCCTTTTTTGCTTAACTGCGAGTATCGTCTTCAGAACTGCCTTCGGACAGAGTTTCTTGGAGAACAAGCATATCGATAAGGAAAGGATCGAAGAACTGATGCTTGAAGCTCATAGTAATATGACTTTCAATTTCACTAATATGTTCCCCACTGCTGGTCTTGGATGGTTCATAGACTTTGTGTTAGGGCAACATAAGAGACTTCATGATGTTTTCACTGAGGTTGATACTTTTCTAAATCATATAATTTATGATCATCAGTTAAAGAATTTCACACTAGATCGTCCTGATTTAGTCGATTACCTCTTAGAAGTGGTACCTAAACAAAAACAAAATGAATCTTTCAAGCTTACCATTGATCATCTCAAAGGGATCACATCCAAGTAAGCAAACAAGTCTCTTGAATCTAACCTGTATATCCTTGGTTATAATATAAAGTTTTTTTTTATGTTGATAGGGTATATATCTTGCTGGAGTAGATACAAGCTCTATCACCATGATTTGGACGATGGCAGAGCTCGTTAGAAACCCTAGAGTGATGGAAAAAAGTCCAAGATGAGATCCAAACTTGTGTTGGAATAAAAAACAAGGAGAGAATGACAGAAGAAGATCTCAACAAGCTTCAATAGTTGAAACTTGTGGTGCAAGAAAGCTTGAGATTACACCCATGAGTTCCTCTATTACTCCCAAGAGAAACAATAAGTTAAATAAAAATTCAAGGATATGACATTCCACCAAAAACCATTCTAGTGGTCAATGCTTGGTCGATAGGACGAGATCCTAAACACTGGAAAGATCCAGAGGAGTTTATCCCGGAGAGGTTTATCGATTGTTCTGTGGATTACAAAGAACATAGCTTTGAGATGTTACCATTTGGTTCTGGAAGGAGGATGTGCCCTGGAATGGCTTCAGGGATGGCTACCGTTGAACTGGGACTCTTGAATTTGCTTTACTACTTTAATTTGATTGGAGAATGTCTGAGAAATGGACATGGACATGGAGGAAGCTGGTGTTCTTACTGTTGTTAAGAAAGTTCCTCTTGAGCTTCTTCCCATTCTTCGTCAGTGATGGGGTGAAGAGTAGAAGAAGTTGAACTGTTACTTCAGACCAAGGTTGTTGTATATGAATAATAATAAAGCTTGTAAGGAAAACTAATATCTTTAATTTTTAAATTTGGTTTGTATCTTGTTGTTCTATGTAGTCTAAAACTATGTTTGTAAGCTGAAAAAAAAAGATAGATTCAAGCTCATGAGAAATTTATTTTTGTAAGATTAAGCAAGGATAAAATATGAATAATGAAATAGCTCACTGGAGAAGCTTTGTTATGTAAAAAAGAAAAGAAAAGGAGATATTGAATTTAGAACACCAAGAACTAAAAAACAAATATCATCAATTAAAGAATGAAAGTTCCTTATTTTTGGTCAAACATGTGAATAGGATTTTCACATGTCAATCATAGTTATAGTAATCTAATCAAAAGGAACATTTGAACCCCTCGGTCTCATGACATGACACAATGGGTTTAATAGCTTTGTCTTGGACTTGTATCTAATAATACCAATGTTCAAGAACTCGCTAGGCGCTAGTCGGACGCTCGTGTTGGGCCTAGCGCCTAGACAAAAAATCGGAGATTAATCGGGGATTAATCGGAGATTATTTTTTATATTTATTATATATATTTTTTTTTATAACATATATTTATTATATATTTATTATATTTTTATGTGTATATATATAAATATAGGAGTGATTGAACAACAATCCGTTGTGTCCTAATGATTCAGGCCCTTGTATTGAAACCTAACAACCTGACTTCGACACCACTCTAATGCATTTTATGTTTGCTTTATTATTCTTGCTTGGGCAGAGTCCCACATCGCTTACACAGAAAGAAGGAGGAGAAATCTGACTCTATATATAGACTTTACACATTTAAAGATTGGTAAAGATGTTTGGGCTTTCACGAAAAGGCCTCAAATTGTCTATCTAGTTAAAATTTGGGTTTCTTATAATGGGCCCGATTAATTGGTAATTCGGCCGATTAATCGGTTAATGGGCCGATTAATTAGTCTGTTGGGCTGATTAGCGTGTATCCGATTTTGCTATCCGATTATAACAAAATCGTGGCGGAGATGGGCCGAGCAGCGAATAATCGGGCGCCTAGGCGGCTGGGCGCCCGTGTTTTAGAACAGAGAATAATACTAATAGGTTTTGAAGGTTCAAAACATATTTTATTAATCAAACAATTACTTGTTGAAAAGCTTCAGGACAAGAAGTGATCCAGTTTTTAGGTGAATGTTCTTAGCCTCTCAAAGGTTATCTTCACACACAGTAAACGACATGCTAACTTTATATGTCTGGACCATGACTTATCTCGCCGTGGTCAAGTCGCTTTTAAATGTAGGCTTGTTTTAATCTCTTGTGCTACGTTTTTATAATCACCAAAAACAGAACACAAAACAAAAACGAAAATTCACAATGTCTACTGTTCTATATTTATTTGCGTTTCTGCTTCTTCCCGCTCTTTTCTCGTTAATATTCGTTAAGAAAACAAAAGACTCGAAGCAAAATCTTCCTCCTAGCCCACCACAGCTTCCCATCATCGGCAACCTACACCAGCTTCAAGGATTATTTCACGGATGTCTTCACGATCTCTCCAAGAAACATGGACCTGTGTTGCTTCTCCGTCTAGGTTCTCTCCAAATAGTTGTAATCTCATCAAGCGAAGCAGCTGAAGAAGCTCTCAAAACACATGACCTTGAGTGTTGCACAAGACCTAAGACTCACGCCACATCGAAATTCTCACGTAAAGGTAAAGACATTGGCTTTGCCCCATATGGTGAGGTTTGGAGACAGTTACGCAAGCTTTCTGTTCTGAACTTTTTCAGCGCCAAGAAGGTTCGATCTTATAGGTACATCAGAGAGGAAGAGAATGACTTGATGGTCAAGAAACTGAAGGAGTTAGCTCAAAAGAAGTCTTTAGTGGATTTGAGCCAAACACTTTACTGTCTAGCTGGAAGTATCATATTCAGATCTGCCTTTTCACAGCGTTTCTACGAGAACAAACATGTTGACAAGGAAAAGATCAAAGAGTTCATGTTTGAGCTCCAGAAACTTGGGTCTATAAGTAGCTCTGATCTTTTCCCTGGTGGTTTGGGATGGTTTATGGACTTTATGTCAGGACGACACAGGAGACTTAACAAGTTTTTCGGCGAGGTTGATAGTTTTCTGAATCATATAATTGATGATCACTTGAAGAACCCTGAAGAAAAAACAAATCAAGATCGCCCAGATATAGTTGACTCGCTCTTAAATACTATATATGCATGAAAAAGAACAAGATGAATCTTTCAAGCTCACCATTGATCATCTTAAAGGAATCATCCAAGTAAGCCTAGAATCTAGTTCATTTCTTTGTGAAAAGTTATGACCTACTATATTGTCAAAGGTATCTTATATCTTACAATAAGTTTGTTATATACTTATATCGTTATATCGTTATGAGCACGGACATCTAATAGCATATGTAAATGTAGCTGTCCATCATATTTCCAAATATTAAAATAAGAAAAAGATAAAAAAGAAATTAAGAAAAAAATTAGAAAGTTTTTTAAAATATCTCTATAATATTATTTGAGAAGTCACTTTCTTAGGTGTCGCACTCACGTTAACTCTCACGCTGGTTGATTACTATGATACCCCTAATGAATTAAAATATAATTAAATATTATTTCCATTTTTAAAAATTTCCAAATAACAATATAAAATAAAAAGGAAACATTTATAAAATTTAAAAAACTATTTAAAAACGAAAATAAGTATATATAATATGGTTTAATAAAAAAGGAAAGTTCACAAAATAGTAATATTTAATTTAAATATATTTTAAATACCATAAAATATACCTTTGAAGTAATAAAATACTTTATATCTCTATAATATTATTTGAGAAGTCACTTTCTTAGGTGTCGCACTCACGTTAACTCTCACGCTGGTTGATTACTATGATACCCCTAATGAATTAAAATATAATTAAATATTATTTCCTTTTTTAAAAATTTCCAAATAACAATATAGAATAAAAAGGAAACATTTATAAAATTTAAAAAACTATTTAAAACGAAAATAAGTATATATAATATGGTTTAATAAAAAAGGAAAGTTCACAAAATAGAAATATTTAATTTAAATATATTTTAAATACCATAAAATATACCTTTGATAGTTTGAAGTAATAAAATACTTTATATCTATATTTTATTAGATAAAAAACAATACATGTATATAATGTGATTTCATAAAAAAATTCCACACAAAAAATATTGCTATTAGAAAAAAAATATTCTTTCTTTAAAAAAAATAATTTTAAACAATAAAATATATATATTGTCAAAATAATTATTTTTGTATATATCTATCTATTTTATTAGATGACTACATAAAATAATCAACTAACATAAACTGATATATGTTTAATTGACATTTTTTAATAATTAGTATTATTTAAATTATTTTTTTAGTATATTTATTTGACTATAATATCTTACAATTACAGTAAAATATATAAATTCTATTTTACTTATATAGTATAATTTCTCAAAAACAATCACTTTTTACTGACTATTTAAGAGATACTAAAAATAAAACTAAAATTAAATTTAATAATAAACATCTTTTGATCAAGTAACTACAATTATTTTAAAATATCATAACACTATATAATTTAACGAAGTAGATATATTATTTAATAATTAAAGTTATCTGTTTTAAGAATAAGGATTCTGATTTACTTAAGTATTTTGATTATGGTTATATTTAGCTTCACAAACATAAAAACAGAAAATAACTATAATTATTTTAAAATACCATAACACTATATAATTTAACAAGGTCGATATATTATATTTTAATAGTTAAAATTATCTGTTTTGTTAATGAATCTTTTGATTTTTAATTTTCTGTTTTTATGTTTATGAAACTTAATATAACCATAGTCAAAATACTTAAGCAAATCAGAATTTTTATTTTAAAAATTATTTAAAATAAATTTCAGTTTACCATCCAATCAATCTAAAGCATAAATTTATTTAGAATTTATAAAATATTTTAATTATTGTAAATATTGATATGTGTTCAAAAGCTTCTAAAAATTCATTAGTTACTTATGTATGTAATTTAGAATCAGACACTTTAGTTTTTATTTTTTTCCTTTTAAGCACAAAAAAATCTTAAGTTATATATAATCTTACTAAATATACTTATATTTCTAAGATAACAACTAGCATAAATGCAAATAAGACAATTAATATATATAAAATATAAAAGATTATAGTTGAATTCAGAAAAATATATAGAATCCAATATATCTAAATGATAACTAAATCGACCGTAAAAACAATAAAACAGATTAAATATAATATATCTAAAAATATATATATAATTAAAGTAATATAATATTATAATATAAATTAGACATACAAACTATAAATTAATTTAAAAATTAAAGTAAATATCAATTAATTATTCTTGTATATTTATTTTATAAGTATATATGTCCGTGCATGAGCACGGGAAAATCACCTAGTATAGATATATTATGATAAAAACTTTAAAATTTTAGATATATTACTAGATTAAAAATTTATAATTTTAAAAGAAACATCAAACATAACATATTTATTAAATTTTTAAAAAATTATTAAATCATTTAATATACCATTAATATTTGTTTGAGCAGGGTCTCAAAATCATTTGAGACGGCCCTGGGTATAAGACTCCTCTTAATATTTACTTGAACTTCAAGCTTGTTTTAATCATATGATAGCACTAAAACTTTATCTTAATATCAATACAAAAATAATTAATGGAATGAATCAAATATGCATACCTTAGGTTAGATTTGCTTTTATTGGTGACAAATCTTGAGTCTAAATATGTCATTAACCATCTTGCATCTTTGTTAGAATATATATCTTGCTGGAGTAGATACAAGTGCTATCACAATGATTTGGGCAATGGCAGAGCTTGTTAGAAACCCTAGAGTGATGAAGAAAACTCAAGACGAGATCCGAACATGCATCAAAATCAAACATAATGAGAGAATCGATGAAGAAGATGTGGATAAGCTTCAGTACTTGAAGCTTGTGATCAAAGAAACGTTAAGACTACACCCAGCAGCTCCTTTGTTACTCCCAAGAGAAACAATGAGTGAAATCAAGATTCAAGGCTACAACATTCCACCAAAAACCTTTCTAGTAGTTAACACTTGGTCGATAGGACGAGATCCCAAACACTGGGAAGATCCAGAAGTATTTATCCCGGAGAGGTTTATTGATTGTCCTGTGGATTACAAAGGACAAAGCTTTGAGATGTTACCATTTGGTTCTGGACGGAGGATGTGCCCCGGAATGGCTTCAGCTATTGCAACCATTGAGCTGGGACTCTTGAATTTGCTTTACTACTTTGATTGGAGATTGCCTGAGGAGGGGAAAGATATGGACATGGAAGAAGATGGTAATATTACCGTTGTTAAGAAAGTTCCTCTTGAGCTTCTTCCAATTCTTCATCATTAAATGATGGCTCAACTTTGAAGTACACAAAGACAAAAACAAAAATGCAACCTTATATATATAACATTATACCATTTCAACAGTCGATAGAGAGTATTGATAGGTATCATAGAATATGTTTTTTTTTTCCTTTCAGTATAAATTTTTTACTTCTATTAAATAACTACTTTTTGTCAACTATTAAATAACTACTTTATTTGAGCTATACATAAATTCCCATGTAATGATCTTTGCATCTTGTTGATAAACAGATAGCGTGTCTTTTTGTTAGCGTGTCTTTTTGTGTGTTGAATAGAGAAATAGAGGGTTTCCAATATTCTAATTTCAGCTAACTTTTTGGGAAATATATATTTAGTGAAGTGAACTCTATTCATTAAAATGACTTCCTCCATTTTATAAAAGAAATGGTTTATGGATTTATTTTACCCTATATAAAATGTCGTTTATGGATTTATTTTTATCCAATATTATCGGTTTATATTTTGCTATGAATGAGGTACAACCGAGACAAGGCTGATACTGGGCCAAATCAGATGAAATATTGGTTTTTGGCTCTTAAACTTTTTGAAAAGAATTATATATACATACTAATCCCAAAAAGAAGAAGTTTTAAGTCCTTAAATCGGTAAAAAAAATTAGTTAAAATCGTCAATAAATCGCATTAGACTCACTCAATCTCAAGACCGACTCTAAACCGAGAATTAAATCATGTGGTTTCAGATATCCATGTAAAAATTGCATGTTACACGAGAAAAACATCATTCTATTCCATAACAAATACTTTTCGTATGATCAGTAGTGGCCCTGAGCATAAGTAGTGGAAGCATGTGCTTCCAATCCTAGTTTAAATATCTTTTATTTCAGCCTTAAATTCTTTTAAATTCTCCTCTCGCATTTGCATATTTTCTTTTTTTTCTCTCTTTTAGTTACAAAATAATAGGCCCAAATTTATTTATTTTTCCAGCCTTATATTTATTGGGGTCGGGCCTGCGCATGATATTAAGTGTAGTTACTTTCATATTAATTGTAAGTACAAAGTAAAAAATTTATTACAAAATAAGATAATTTATAATTTCAATGTTATTTATGCCATTAATTTGTCTCTTACCTTTACATAAATTAAGGAAAAGAATAAAAGTAATAAAATTCTAATAGTTATATATATAAGTACTTGACAAAAAAAAATAGTTATATAATTAAGTGCAAAATTGTGCATCTAACCATTTTGTAAATTGGTGTGAAAAAAAAACTAGAACATCTAATTTCAAATGGGGGAAGCAATAAATAAAAAGAAACAAAAGTAAATCCTTAAAAATTATTTACAAAGGTCAAATTTTACTTCTGTTCGTTGAATAATGACATGAAATATTTGGATATCCGTCTGGATACCCAAAGTTGAAAAATGTTTTGAACAATTTATATAGTGACCAAAAAAAAATTAATTAGTTTTTCAGAGAGGGAAAGAGAAAAGAGGTGATATAATGGATTTTTAGGTAGTTAGTTAATTTGAGAATTTTTTAGTTATTGGGCCTAATTTCTCTTGGATAAATCGGCTTGTTATTTTTTTGAAATACCACATTTTTGCTTTTATGAAATACAAATAGTCTATCTAAATAATAAATCTAGAAGTCAAGAATCAAGTTTGATCCAACGAGTTCAAAATAGTAGGCTACTATTGTTGATATATATCCTTTATTTGGAGTGTCATCTAGAAGATTAATTTGCCCTATATACGTACTCTCATACATCAACCACTTAAATAAAACAAAGAAAACGACACTCCGAGTCGAATTTTCTTTATCGTGATCACTACATTATTATCCTTTGACTATTATCGACAACGACCCGTGAATTCAAAATAGCCGTGAAGAAATCATCCTCTCAAGTCTGAACTCTAAAATGCTTTCTTGATTCCAACGTTGAAAAGTCTACTTTCATCTCACTTTAAATCTTAATTCTTCTTCACTCGGAAAAAACAGAACAGACTAGCAAGAACACAAGATGTCTATTTTCATTTACTTGTTATGGCTTTTGCTACTTCTCTTAGTAACAATATACTTCACTAAAAAGTTACAAACCTCGAAAATAAACCTTCCTCCAGGCCCACAGAAGCTTCCGATCATCGGAAACTTACACAACCTTGACGGGTTACTACACATATGTCTCCAAAAACTCTCCAAAACCCACGGACCAGTGATGAAACTCCACTTCGGTTTTGTCCCTATTGTCATAGTCTCTTCAAACCAAGCAGCAGAAGAAGTTCTCAAAACCCATGACCTAGATTGTTGCAGCCGACCAGAAACCATAGCGACCAAGAAAATCTCTTACAACTTCAAAGACATAGGGTTCGCTCCTTACGGGGAAGAGTGGAGAGCGTTGAGGAAGCTCGCTGTGATCGAGCTATTCAGCTTGAAAAAACTCAATTCTTTTAGGTATATAAGAGAAGAAGAGAATGACTTGTTGGTCAAGAAACTCTCTGAAGCTTCTCAGAAACAATCTCCTGTGAATCTGAAGAAAGCCCTTTTCACTTTAGTCGCTAGCATCATCTGTAGAATCGCCTTTGGTCAAAATCTTCATGAATCTGAGTTTATCGATGAAGACGGTATGGAGGAACTAGCGTCTAGGTCAGAGAAGCTTCAGGCGAAATTCGCTTTCTCTAATTTCTTCCCTGGAGGTTGGATTGTAGATAGAATCACCGGTCAAAGTAAGAGTTTAGAAGGACTCTTCTCAGAGCTAGACGACTTCTTCAACCAAGTGCTCGATGATCATTTAAAGCCAGGAAGAAGTGTGTTAGAGACTCCAGATGTTGTGGATGTGATGATTGATATGATGAATAAACAAGGTGGAGATGGCTCTTTTAAGCTCACTACTGATCATATCAAAGGAATCATCTCTGTAAGCAAATTTAATCTAATCTCTATTTTCAGTGTTTTTGTTAACTTTCTTACTTAATCTTGATTGTGTTTTCTGACTTCGTTAATAGTTTGTGGTTGCCACTAGTATTTGCTTTGCCATAATGTCAAATTTTTGGATTCAAGTGGTAGGTACTATGTAGTTTTTGTTTCCGCTTGTGGGGTATACGATATCAACGTAGGAAAGTGTCAAAATAATTGCGGGTCGTTATCAAATTTATAATTTATACTAGTTTAATCTGAGTTCTAGAACTCTGTAAGTGGATAAACATATATATTAGAATAAGTTATATTTACTGTATAAGTTCTAGAACTCTATAAGCTTTATTTAGATAAATACTGTACTAAATGAAAATCAACATTTGTAACATCAAGAAATAGATGTGGAACAAACATATATATTAGAATAAGTTATATTATCTATACTATTAAAAGAGAAGGAGTCTAAACAAATCTACTTAAAAAAGTTGTTTGGACCCTTTCATTAGACTAACATTTTTAGTCTTTCCTTATATTTCTCTAACTATATAAATACTTTACAATTTAAATAAACTCATTTATTACTTTCCATAATCTATTATAAAATTTCTCTAACAATAAATATTCATGATATTAT